CCAGGATGTCATAACTCAGCTCCACCTCAGTGAATCATGTCCAGTTGTGTGTAGAAAGAGCATGGACTTGGGCATGAGGTTGACCCAGGTTCTATTTCAGCCTCTTACCAGATGTTGGATTCTGGGCAGCTTAATCCACTTGTCCCGCTGAGCCCCAGTTTTCTGTATACTTTAATGCCCTCCTTGAATGTTTTTTTTTTTGTATGAATATATGCCTCAGACAGAGTAAACACTGAAGAGTGTTAGTTTTACTTCCCTCAGGGAGAGAGAAAACAATTGTGTGGATTCCCTAATAAGACAGTGGGCACAATTTTTCACTCAGTTAAGGCTGGAAGGAGAAATAATCAGGCTTTCTATTTTACCTTGACTACTAAAGATAGCAGAAGACTCTAGTACATGAGATACGATATTTATTTAGTCTGTTTCCAAGGTGTGGATTTGTGATATATAGAAATCTACAGCAGTACAGCCAAAGAAAGTTCTGAAAATGGATTTGATTTGAGTCACCTTGTCAGTTTAGAAATAATATTATGAATATAAGTGACAAAGTCCCAAGGAAAGGCATGCCACTTTGCTAGCTTTCACAAAACCTAATTTTCCATGCGATCTCCAGTGCATTAAAAAAAATGAAATGTACCATCAGTGTTGAAGGGTATCTCCAGATGGCCTTTTATTAGCTGCCCAGGAGGCTGCTTCCGTTCTCCATCAACTACACATCCCAGCAACAGTTTTCACCTTCGTATGCAATAAGCTATGATTGTTGCATGAGATGTTAAATGACACTTGGATGACTGGTCCCTGAAATATTTTTTGGAAGGCCATGTGCATGGCAGAATTCACATGACCACAAATCTGGATTTGCTCTATTTACTTGAAGGTCAGACAAGGTTGGTTTGCAACCCTGGGAATTTGATGGATGAAATCTGAAATTGGCCCCTATACAAGGAGGGCAAGGAGGGAACAAAGAAAGAGGCAGATACTTCAGATTGGTAGGAGGCAGTTTTAATAAGCAAGGGAAGTTACATATGAGGCTTGTCCCGGGTAAGTGCAAGGTAAGCAGATCTCCACCCCTGTCCGTCAGAATCTTAGAAGTTCAGTAGAGGCCTTGACTGGGTTCAGTCACGTGTTGAGTCCAGATGGTCCGAACAACATCTTACTTTCTTAGGCTACGTCCTTGAAATGTCTCCAGCTGTGGGAAAGGTGGGTGGAACATACATTCCAAGGACAGGGGACGGGGTTGAGGGGCCTCCAGTTGCCTGGGTTCAGCTCTCGGGTCAGTTGGTGGTCTTGCCTCCCTGTGACCTCCCCTACAGACAATGCCAGTGAGTACTGTTTTTTTTCTTTTTTTTTTTTGGTAAATTTCTGCTTTTGACCTCTCTTTTGAGAATTCCATTGAATGGAATAATCACAGAAGAATTTTAAATTAGAAAAAAGAAGTGATTGAGACTATATTCAACTGAGCACATCCCAACAGCTCAAGACTAGAAGTTCCTTTGTGACGGCAGGTCACGTTAATTTTGTTAAGAATTACCGAGAGTAGGGAAAACTTTTAGCTGACTTTACGTTAGTTTGCAGAAAGCCTTGGCCTGCTTTTCATGGCCTTTATCCTTTCTTTAATGTTTAGTGAATATACTGCCTCGTGCCTAAAATCTGCCTCCATCCTTCTTTCTTTCCTCAAATAGTCATGGGATATTGAGCTGCATATTTCTATCAGGACATTAACTAACTGGTTCCCTATTAGACTCTGCTCTTAGACCGCAGAGACTAAGTCTGATTCAAATTGATTTTCTCCCCAGCCTGAACTTTGCACAGAGAGTTAAGTGCCCAATAAATTGTGTGGAGCTAAACTTCTCAGTTGATCTTGCAGTTATGATCCCTGTCTTAAAATTTACCCATTCATTGGGTGCTCCTTTTTTTTTTTTTCTTGTTTGCTGACCTCCACCTCTCCTGGACTGTTAGCTGATTTTCGGTAGTGCTCTGCCTGTGAATGGAGTCCTGGTTCCCCTGACTCAGTCTCTGGGCCTTAATGTCTCCATTCCAATTCCAGTTTCTCCCCACAGTTCCCGTGTTTGCATACTGCTAGACTTTACAAGGTTGAAGGAGGCTTGACTTGTTCTATATTACTAGCCTCTTTCCATCCTGAGTTTCAGTTTCCTCCTTAAAAGCATGGGAAGAGTAATTTAATCTATTTTGCAAGGTATTAGGAAGACTAAGTGAGGTACTTTATTCACAAGCACTTTGTGAACTGTCAGTCACATCCAAAACGATGTTATTTTAAAGAATTTATTTATTTGTTTATTTATTTATTTATTTTGACATATAGTCAGTTTACAACCGTGTGTCAATTTCTGGTGTACAGTATCCTGTTTCAGTCATACATATACATACACAGATTCCTTTTCATATTCTTTTTCGTTATAAGTTACTGCAAAAATTTTTTCCTTTAAAAAAAATTTTACTGAAGCATACTTGATTTACAATGTTAGTCTCAGATGTGCAGCAAAGTGATTCTGTTATACATATGCATACCCGTATTTTCTGTTCAGATTCTTTTCCATTATATGTTATTACAAGGAATTGAATATGGCTCTCTGTGCTATATAGTAGAAATCTGTCATTTACCTATTTTATATACAGTAGTTAGTATCTGCAAACAGAATGATGTTATTGTTAACAGTCAAGTGTAAGCTCTTTGAAAGTAAAGTGTCCCTTATACTGTGTGGCCGACGGTGCTGACTGCTCATGCATCCTATGAGTTTACTGATGTTTCTTTGCTGGCAGAATCCTCATCCTGCCGAAAATGCCTAAAATACTGTCTTTGCTGCATGTCTAGCAGCTGGGACTCGGGCACTGGGCCCAATTCTGGCCATAAAGACCTGAATGGAAATCAGCTCTGTGGTTTCTGGGAAATATTTAACTCTGATTAAAAAAAAAATGCTTGCAAATAAAATTTCCTATTTTCTGCCTGATGCTCTGCTGATTATCTCGCCACGCCAAGGAGAAAAGCCAAAAATGAGAGCCAGTAATTTAAGGGTGGCAGAGCGGAAAGCAGTCTGGAACGCGGGTCTCATTCTGTTGTTGAGTGACCACACAGACCCTGGGACTGCCTGGTGTCCAGAACTTTTGTGATGGGAGGGAAATAACCGTTCTTACCAATTAAACCAGCTTTAGCTGCTTGTTCTGTTTCTTGAAACCAACACATGCTAGCTAATATATACTTCTGTCGTATGTTCAGTGTCAAGACCAAGTGTAGGTTCTTTAAAAAAATTTTTTTAATTGAGGTATAGTTGACGTACAATATTACATAAATTTCAGGTGCACAATATAGTGATTGGCAGTTTTTAAAGGTTATAGCCCATTTACAGTTGTTAAATATTGGCTGTCTTCCCTGTGCTGTACAGTGGATCCCTGTAGCTTACTTATTTTATACACAGTAGTTTGTACCTCTGAATCCCCTGCCCCTGTCATGCGCCTCTCCCCTTCCCTCTCCCTGCTGGTAACCACTAGTTTGTTCTCTATATCCGTGAACGTTTATGATGCTCCCTGTTTGCTTATAGTTATATTTATCTTCATCACATGTTTGTGTAATATGGGGACTCGATGTTTCTAGACTCTTTGCAAAGGCAAAGAGATTGCACCCCAGGAAAACAAAGACAGATTGTTTAGATTATACGACCCTGTCATTAGCAGGACGGCCGCAGGCCCAAGGCCTGAAATAAACTAGACTTAAATTGAAAGCAGACAGGCTGGAGGCAAAATACGAAGATTCAATGAAAATGGAAACCGTGATTGAGGACAGTGCTTCCAACTGTGACACCGCAGGCTGGAAACCCAAGGCTTCACGGCGTCGTGCTTAAATGGCCCCACACTGGCTTCACTGTGGTGACAACTGCTGCCTCTCCGCTTCCCCCTTCTCCTCTTTCTCATTCCTGGGGTGAAATTTATGTAATTTAACGGGCTTTGTAACAACTTAAATTCAGAAAGACTGACCACAAATATGCTCAGAAACACTCAAAATTGTATGTATGCTTTCTAAGGGGAAGGCCCCTAGAAAACCCCAAGGCTATTATTGAAAATCTGTGTCACCTAAAATCGCCCATCTCAAATTGTTTGTCGGGCTATGACCGTAATATAAACGGCATCAAATGCATTTTACCAGTTGGATAATCTTCATGGTTAAAACTCTGCTTTCTAATTCTATCCTAGCCAGCAATTAACTCTCGGCATGAAGAGAAAATATTGCTTGAATGACTGACAAATGCCCTTATCAAGTGACCGTATTGGGTCGGTTGCAGGGCTGGTGAGAGAGCCGGCTGGCCATTAGTGACTGCAACAGTTTTATGACCCATGAAATTGCTTGGTGGTGGAGTGATGTCCAGGAGAACCGGCCAGAAAGAGGCATTGTTTTCAACCACAGCTGGAGACCTTTGGAGCCTCGTTTTAGGTGTTAGGACGCAGCCCCTTAACACTGAGAGTTCCGCAGAGTGACAGATGGAATTTCAGTCGTCCAAGGGCCCAGCCTTCCTTCTCTCATAATTGATGTTGCTGCCAAATTCAGTCATTTTATGGGCCAGTGTGGAGACTCACAATGATCAAAGCCCGTCATACTGTTCAGTTAGGCAGAAGGAGGGCACAGATGTGAGCAGAAAGGCACGAAACCAGGGAACACAAATGAGAGGGAGAAAATTCAGATCAGTGCTGGAAACCCCGTTGGGAAAAACTCCCTGAGTCTAAAGGTGTCCACAACAGAGAAATCTCCGGTGCCCAGGGCTTGGTGGTGAGGGAGTTCTTAAGGGCGCCCCCCCCATGGTGAACTTGGACTTCGGTAATGGCAAGACTGACACCAGGGAGACTGAGGGTTATGCAGCAGCGATGGCCTCTCAGGCATCTCTGGTCGTTTCAGCTCCGCTGCAACAGGTGATGAGAACAACAGGTTGACAGCTGCCTCCGTAGGGTTTCCAGTGGAAGGCTTGCAATATCAAAAACGGCCAGGCGAGGTCAGCATTGAGGAAGGGATGGGAGAACTCGGCTGTTGGGAAAGCGGAGATTTAACCACCGCAATAGAACAGTGACAGGAATCTGCGACACGGAAAGGAAGGGCGTGGCTTTCTGTCAGGCCCCTGAGCGCACAGTAGGTTTTTGGTGAGTATGGCAAGGTAGATTGCCTGGGCCCAGTCTTGTCTCTCAAAGCCCAATGCTAGGGCTGTTTATTGTCTTTATAACTGCCTACCTCTTTCTACTCCTGTTTCTCCTCCAAATTTATACCCTTTTCCTGCCTTGTCTTTCTGTTGTTAATGCTTCGTATTTTATAAAATATTATATATGTGTACACATGTATATAAGACACACACACACA